CATCATCATCATCATCATCATCATCATCATCATCATCATCATCATCATCATCATCATCAATGATACAAGTCAATAGTTGCACATATCATATAGTCTATAGTCTATATAGTATACTTTTTCTGCATGCCTCGCGTGTGCTTTTGTGTTCGTTGTGTTCTTACCACTGTCAGGCCACAGCCTCGGGCTTCTTTCGCATGCTCAACAACCTGGCAGGGCCCTGAGAGTCGCAGGCTTTCTGCCCGCAGTCGTTGTTCAGGTGGTCACAGCCGGTGACCTTTGACAGTAGATCACCCCTCGCTCCAGGTGCCTGCACGCTCATGCTGCAAGACCCTGGTGGTTTGTGACCAAAGCTCTGCAGAGATCATGGAGGAGACCGGGAACGTCTCAGCCGGTGAGTCGGCACCTTCTATCATTCGGGTTCTTGGATCCCCCAAGGGATCCGCCAGTTTTCTTGTTTACTATTTCTTTTTCATTGAGAACCTCAGAAATGGAGATAAGAAAATGTACACTGTTCTTTATATGTTGCTTTAGACGGACGTGGTGTTTTTGGACTCGTAGACGTGCGAGATCCAAGGGCAAGTCCCCATGCCGGTGGAAGGCACTGACCCGCTTGGCACTGACCGCCCACCCAAATCCACCGAATCCAAATGCTCGGGTGGCAGCGGATCGATAGGGTACCTTATTCGGTGGTGTGATTTGACTCGGTGTGATTTCCCCGCGGAACAACATGACGTCGTGCAAACATTTGCAGCTCACCACAGATGACCTCAAGATTGATGACATCATTGCTTATTGTTTGCCTCTCAACATCAGGGTTTGCTTTGATGCAGAATGGCCCTGTGTGGTTGAAGGAACATGACCGCTCGACGGGAATGATAGAATAAACTATAGAAGGTCAACATAAACCCACCATATGTCTTCATGCACGAGCGCCTTGTATGGAGATCAACATAAAGCCAAGCGAGGCAATTTTGTTTGTGTCACCCACGAGTCTTTTCTCTTTTCTACCCCAGGTGATGAAAGCGATTCTCCATCTTCAGATCACGAATCGTGCTGCGAGTGAATGCGAGTGACCCCGATTTGGCCCGTGGACACACGCCCCGTGCCATGCGGAGGAGCCCCGTTTCAAGGGCGATGCCTCGATCTCCACCTCCACGGCCCCGTCTTGGAGCGGGCATCACAGAATGAATTTGCTCCAATTCCAGTGGAATAGTTTTATTTGTATGATGTAGATCAGATGATATGTCATGACTCTTGATTATATTTCAACCACTCATATGAAGATGTTTTACAATCCATGTTTGGGGCTTTGTGAATCAAGAGTCTACCTTAAAGATTTTGTCGAGCAGATGCTTTGTAGGTTTAGACTGGCAAGTCTCGACCTGTGCAGGCTGGATGAGAACGTCCCACCAGGGCTTGCAGCCGTGCCTTTGGCCAGTCGATCATGATCCGAATCGGACGGATGGTGTTTGGCCTGGCGAACCATGGCGAACCCAAAGGAGTGAATCAGAGGGGACCTACAGGGCAAAATGAATGATCAGTTGATCAGTTTCAGTTTCCGTTGTCATTCTTTTCAAGAGCACAGGTGGGAGTAGAAATGTGAACAGTTTCGGCACAAGGACAGCCAACCTTTTTGGTGTGTCAACATGTGTCAACACACCTCTGCAATCCAGGGCGGTTCATCGCCGTGAGCTGCTCAGGTACTTCCAATGGACTGGCAAGCCCGGACATTTTGTCAGCTGCCGCAAAACATACAGGCAGGATCGTGTGAGATGGGAATGATGGGATGGCCCTAGCCTGATTCCATGCGAGGCCGAAAGGGAAAAGAGGGACGTGCGAGCCCACATATGTCAAAGCCCTTGCAGATGATGCCCCCTTAAGTATAGTTTATTGTAGAGTTATGTCAGAATATGTCATATACATTGGTTGTTGCATGTTGTTGCTGCATGTTTGTGCAATCGATGATCAAGCAATCCTTGGAGCATCTTGGAGCACTGCGTCAACATCCTACCTGCTGTTCTCCTAGGGAAGTTTGACAGTGCAACCCCAGATGTTTTTTTGGGCTGGAGAGTTTCAATAGGCGGGGCCACAGGCGGACGCTTCAGCCCTTGGCGGAGTGAACTGGACCCACATGAGACACACTAGACAAAGCAGCGTTTGGAATCGAAGATACTGGTTGGCAAAAGAAGAACACTGTAGTTGTAGAGGCTAACATACCTCCAGTACCGCCTGGACTTTCCCAATGAGACCATGGCAAACAAGTGCTCGGATGCTCCATGTAAGGTGGAGTAGTTATTGGCTCCAGTCGTGAACATCTCCTTCAGTACCAGCTATGCCATCCCAGGAAGGCCTCGTGCGCTCGCCAGGTGATCTGGCTCGAGCGGCCAGATGCTGAAGTGGTGCGACAGCGGCCTGCGCCGTTGGTGTGACTCGGCACCGAGGTTCTGAACCATCACAGATGTTGGAGACATGTGACTGTCGCTTTGGTTTTCGACTGTCCCTTTGGGCTTCCCACGAACAAACAGGTCGGCCACGTTCTGTTGAGGAGTCTTCGACCCTGCAGCTGAATGCAACTGAAATATTGGAGGGTTATATACCGCAGAGAACAATATGGATGCAAGTTGGTTTACTTTTCAAGCTAGTTCCGCGCAGATCGCCGTCCGCAGGAAGGATCTTGGAGGGTTGCTCGTTGTATGGCCTTTGTATGCCTTTGTAATTTTATCCTTAAGATGGCCAATCCGACAAGGCTTCGACGGAAAAGTCCAGTGGCCACTGAAAAAGCGTCCACTAGCCATCGCGATGGCAACAGGAAGAGACTTGCAGACACCAACAAGAGAACTAACTCAAAAGCCGCAGCACCAGGATCCGCATTTCAACGTCCCTTGACGCATGTATACATGGTGGGCGAAGAACATGTACAAATATACCACAGAAATTGCCTTGATGTCATGAAAAATCTCAGTGCTTCTATTAGGTGGATAATTTGAAGGCTTCCAAAGTCTGAGGTACCTTTGTTCAGATCCTACCAAACATCATTGCCAACACCCCAACACAGTCCCAGCAACACCCCAACAGTCAGCTGCCGAGCGGAGCATGTCCACCGGTCTCCGACCCCCGCTCCCAGGAATCGCCCGCCCATGCCGCCCATGGGTCCGGGGAGCTGGGTCCGGGGATCACCGGAACGGATGGGCCAAGCGTGGCAAACGAAACAAAGTGTATGGGTTTTAGATGGTTTTAGTGGTGGTGAGCCGCTACCACCAGTGTTTGGTGGTGAATTCGTGAGATAGAGATAGGCTGGATATGGATCGAGGATGGATATATTGCAATCAAACACAATCAATATTGTGAGGGTACTCACAGACAAAGCCATGAATGTAGAGGGAGTTGTTGCAATTGTTTCCTGAGTGATGAAGTGGACGGCTTAACTAATTCCTATAGCAAGCTCTAAAGTCAGAGTCATGTAAGTAAGATCAAAGCCCTCACAATAATATTCTTCAAACTTCCAGCCTCCACAAGCCTTGAATAGACACTGGATACCATCAATCAAAATGAGCATGCGCACAGATGATGTGTGTTTCCTCTTTTAAAACATTTCTTTCGGCTTCCAGGTGCCTCAGACATCCTCAGACCCTCACCACAAGACAAGTCATTCAGGTTTTTTTCAAGTTCTTAGCTCCTACTAAATGAATCAAGTTCTTGGCCCAGAACTCAGGAACTCCAACATCCAACATTCACTACTACAAAAACAAAGGATCTTGTTGAATGTTGGAGTTCCAGGCCCCAGGGCGCCGCCTAAGCGTTCACCAGGTGCTACATCTTCACGATGTGGATGTGGAGGGCACCTTCAAAGGCTGGCCGTTTGATCGGCAGCTGAGCCGTCGAGCCGCTGATTCAGACCTTCACAGTTTGCGTTCTTAGGTGTTTTGCTTCTTGAACTGCCTCCAATCCTTTGCAACACATGTGGTCACATGTGGTTATCTCAGCTATCTCCTTTCAAGATCCCTCTTTTTGTCGATTGGAGCGACTTGCTTGTCACCTTTTTTTGATCGCAGATAAACCTCAGTGACATCCGTGTCGAAGATGTGTGAAGTGACCGTCGACACGGCTCTTTTGACATCGTCGGCCAGCCCTTTGTTGGGACAACGCGTGGAGAACAAGGAATGGTTTGTGAAGAATGCCCAGCTGAAAGAGGCAGGGGGGCGGCAGCGGGGTCAAGAGGCAACGGGAATTTGACTGGCTTGATTGGATTGCTTGAGAATGTTTGGAGATAGTTGTTATTTCTTTTCAGGTTCTCGTATGAATTTGTATGAGCATGTCAGTAGTCAGTATTGAATAGTATTCATAGATATTGCTAGTGTTGTTTGGTTTCTTTGCCGTGGCTGCTGACCTGAACAGAGGATGTTTGAGGTCTTGGAATGCTGCGACTGTCCATGGCCTCACGTCAAGCTTCACCGTGCCTCGCCGCTCCGTGTTCTCTGACAAGCGCCGATTTGTTACCTATGCCAAAGGGCGTTGGGTGCTTCGGCAAAGCGCAAGAAACCACGGATCAGGGGGAAGGACCATGCTTTGCAAGTGGTTTAAATGGAGCCTGTCCCAGGTGTGTGTGATTTAAACATTGGGATCAGAGGTGCAGGTTGCCAGGCTTAGAAGGGAAGACCTTCTCAGTCAGTGAGAAACTAATAGACATTTCCTCACGTATTTTTTGTAGGTAGTAGGCTCTCTTTATATATACACACGCGTTATAGCTTAATTGATCTATCTTTAAATATATATATATAATTATATATATATATCAGTACGACTACTTTCAGCAGGAAAAAACACATCTAATCAAACCTATCTCAAGATACAACATCCTTACAAAGCTTAAGAATACCTGGATCTCGACATGAACAGGGGAGCAGGACATAGCCATCAGTCCTGACTCGCACGTCTAAAATAAGGGAGTTTCCTTTCAAGCAACTCCTCTCATTTTGTCACTTGCTCCCAATCACACTCGTGTGACTAGCTTAGTAGTTAGCATGGGCCTTTGCTGTTCGAATCCGGCCTTGAGCGAATCCCTCGAGACCAAATTGAGTCCTGTGGACGTACGGCATCTCGGCTTCAGTAGCGGCTTCATTCAGCGGTGGAAGCGTCCTATCCCAATATCCAAGGGACGCAGATATTAGAGTGCCACCCCAATGTGCCCTCTTGTCAAGGACAAAGAAAAAACCATGCCGCAATGCCACCTCGGATTCTTCCTATTTTGTTGAGCCACGCCTTTCCGTCAGTTCACTCAGCTCAGCTAAGGCGGATTCACATGAAGACACCCAAATGGCTCCCATATTCTGCCCCAGCAGATGGAGCAGCCAAAGATGTTTGGGATGCTTTGACTTTGATGGATGCGTCGATGGATGGTTCCTGGTTGTCCGGATTGTATTTTGTGGTTTCCTATGTTTTCTACTCTTTTAGCTACCAGAAAGGGCATGATACAATTCACCTTGGTGGGAAACAAGGAAGGTGTATGATGAATGTATGAACGTCATAATATATGAATGCAATTCCTTGCCATTTTTGACTTAGGTTCTGGAAAGATCATTCTGCTCTATTCTGGCTACGTGATCAGCCCAGGGGAACGAGACCGTGAGTTTCAAGCGGGCTGGAATCGTGAGCATGTATGGCCAAGGAGCAAAGGACCGAAGAGGGGGCGAGAGAAGCATGTATTTTTCAGAATGAATCCCAGGTCTTTGTGACATGTTTACCGCTTTGCAACTTCATGGGACGCTTTATCTCGACGCACATTCTTTAGTGCGCTCACTACATAAGGCCTGCCTGCCTAATCTCCTCGCATATTTGTCGTCAAGATGTTTCTATTTGTACTGACTGTGGTTTCTTCAGTCGTTCAACATGGTTCAACGATGTAATGTGAAACACATGGTTGATGCCTTTAAACATCCTTTAACTTTATCCATATCCTCAGTCTCACAGGCTTTCTCTGCCCATTTGCCCTTAAGTTTATATTGACTACCTGATGGTTTTCAGCTGTTCACCTCACTCACTCCTCCGGACAGCTGCCAAATTTCGTGGCTTTCACAGGAGGCTTATCTACACGTAGCCCTGGTCCCGGCACGGATCTGCACAACCTCCACGCAGCGGATATCTCCGTGAATTCGGCGCGTGGGAACAAAGACTTCGATGACTTGGTGGAGACGGATGATGGGGTCCAAGTGGTGACTGGGAGCGAAGACATCAACAGGGAGCGGAAGCGGCCGACACGTCCGTGTGACGGGTGTTGGATAAAAGCAACATCGCTGGGATGAAGAGGTGTTCTCATGTTTAAAACTGGCAAAGCCAGGGCTTGACCTTTAGGCTCTATCAATCTATTATATATATATGAATGTTTATGTTACAGTATGAAATTATATACCGGCTCAGATTGTTCCTTCTTCGTGTGTTTTGTTTGCGTCGAGTGGTTCTGCCTTTTTTCTTCAGGCTGTTCCAGTGTGACAGACACAAGTTGGCGTTCGGGTGGGTTGAACGTTATTGTAACAGGCGGTTGCAGGCGGTTTCGTTCCAAAACCAGAATCACATCCCGGAACCGTCGTCCTTTCGATCGGACTGCAGGTCGTGGACTCTTCTCCTCCACCGGGCTACGACTCCATGAAACGGCTGTGTTTGGTTTCGGAGGATGCTTGGGCACCGGGCGATGCTGCCAAGGGCACCGCCGCTCGGAGAACAGAAGGAAATGGTCCAAAGGACAACGGATAAAGATGGATACAGTATATATATATATATATACCTAGACCTTCAAAAGGACACTAATAAGTGCTCGAGACAAAAAGCGCTCGTTAGATCAAAATGTGCTCGACCTTTGTTTCCGAGCATTTGCATGATACCACAAACTCCCTGGCATGAATGAAACCTCCTGGCACACCACAACATACACTACATCGCGGCTTTCTTCTTCAACTCTTCAACATGCTGCCATCGGAAGCAGCCAGGGCCTCAGTCGTTGCTGCTTTCAACAGCTTTGCGCCACTCAGCTCGATATTGTATCAAGCTCTTTCTGGTCAAATTGAGCACTTGGACTATGCTGGTCGCGTGCACTTTTCGTGACAAGCGCGACTGCCTTCCGATAAAGTCCTCGTCGCTCCAGCACGCTGCACCTTAGAGCACTACAAGGAGGTTCACTAGTCAATGAAGCAGCTCCCAAGTTTCCGACATGCTGGATTTTGCACCCAGTTAGCAGCAGGCACTTGGAGAACATATTCCATATTGAGCCTTGGGGGCCACTCTTCAACACAGAGGAAGCAGCAAGGGATACCCACTGGGAGAAAAGTGACAGTGGAAAAGAGCCAAGCAGCAACACATGGCAGAACATGTGGATTTTGGGCCTCACATAGTACAATGCCCAGCCATTATTGGCACTCAGAACGCTGCAGCACCCATATGCTTCCTCATAGATGGCAAGCACTTCACAAAAGCAGGTCCCCATGCCATTGGTACACACCAAAAGTCATGAACTAAAAACAACCCTCAGCAACAAAAATGTATGTCGACCGCAGTAAATGGTTCTGAAAAAGCTATTGGCAGAGTTGCAACCCCACTTGGCCACTTTGAACAGGTCCCGACAGAGTTCCTCATGCGCACGCATACGAACACATGCACATGATTTGGGTGGAGCAACGTTTAGACATGCGTGGCTTGTCATATGATGTTGCGCTTCACACTGGTCACCTGTTTTTTGGGCAAGTGACTGGCACCGTGTTTTCACCCATGTCTTGCATGACTGATTGAAGCCACGACGATACCAAGGCCGCATCAGATCCTTTACCAAGGCCTCGAGGAAATTGCTGCAGCCTCAGACGAGTCAATGTCGAGGTCAAGTTTTGGGCTTGCTTAGATGGGGCCACTTGGAGAACCCCAAGTTGAGAGACAACAAATTTACAGTCATTGATTCAAGGAACGACTGTATCTTTAGTTCTTCTTTGTCAAAGCTCTTGATTGCGCTGTTTTTTTCTTGTGGCGCACCAGCTCCTAAAGGATTCATAAGCAGCAGCAAGTTGATCTGGGATGTTGTTGCCTCCGAAAGCCTTGCAACGACAACTGAGTAGCACCAATGAGGATGCTAACTCGTCCTTCCCAAAGCCAGCTACTGCGTATGTGTGCGCCAGGTCAACCAAAATGAGCTTGGGGTTGTCACCGCACGGAAGCAGGTTCCTCAAAGCTGCTTTTGGCCCTCTGTGAAAAGGGTCTGGACAGAGCCTTGCACCGCTGGATGGACAAAGGTTAATTGGTGGCGTGACCACAAAAAGGAAGGGGCCCAAACTTGACCAAAAAAAACTTGGCGTTGCCAATATGCATGGCACTCCTCCTCCAAATCTGCGTCACTCCCCACAACAGGCTTGAGATCCTGCATGAGCGTTTCTTGCTCCAATGCTTCCAAGTGCTCCTGCTCTTGGGTGAGCTCCTCCAGCAAAGCTAGCTGGTGTTCCAATGCCTGGAGACCACGCCTCTCCTCGAGCAAAGCTTTCAAGTGTGCCTCCTCTCCCGCTTTGGCTGCTGCAAATCCACCCTGTGACTCCTGGTCCACTTCCATGGATTCCATGGTGTCAGGTGGATACATTGGCTCTCCGGTTGGATTGGTGCACTCCTTGGATCTTATGTCAGCTATCCAACCCTTCAAGCCACAGCGCAAGCACTCGAACCCGTGTTCCTTGTTCTTTACGGTGTAGTGTCCGCTGGAGGATGGTGTGGAACAGGTCGAGGATGGTGTGGAATCCTCCTGACACGGCCACGTAATAGCTTATGTCCAAATTCGGGGCTACATGTGACCACTGCTGTTTTTGTACACACGCGCGACCTGATGCTACAGACACGCGTATTCAAATAACTTCGAACATACTCGACAAGGTTAACATCACGGCCCAACCACCCATAGCCTGCAGGCTGTAGAGCAATTGAAGCTGAAGGAGAAGGTGCGCACGATGGGTCCCGCGACGACGCTGCATCTTCCGAGATCATGCCTAGACAGAGACATGAGAAGATGGACCCCTGACCATGAAGAGTAACCGATTCAGACATATCTGGACCCGAGTCTGGACCAGTAACATTTCAGCTCCCAGGAACCTATTCCCAGTCCATCAGATATACATATGTATGTGATCTTTCAATATGTGCGTATTGGATATGTGATTTGTACATCGTAGCAGAGCGCGTTAAGCTGCAAGTCACAAACTCGGGTACATGTGCTCCTGGCCTCCAGGATTCAACGCATCTGAAGCTGCAGTGGAAGGCGCGCGCGAGGGCTCCCGTGACGGCGGTGGATCTTTGGGCGCTGCGCCTGCGCACCCCCAATGTTCCAATGAAAAGGGTCAGGCGAATCAGTCGCCAAGAAAGAACCCAAAGGATAGAGGTGGTTTCAAACTCCTTGCCTTCATCCAGATCATGGTCGATTGCTTGTGACTCCTAGCTCCAGAAGAGGGTCTTATGAATCCCTATGAGACATTGAGCATGTTGCACCATCAAATTGTCTGTTTTTTTAAACAGCCTAAGAAAGCCAGTCCTCAACTTCGATGACTGGGTCACTTTCCTCGGGCTCAGTCGGGGAGCTCATCATCACCTTCATGCTCATCCGGCTCATCCATCTGTGTGTCATTTGCTGGCTCTGGATGGTTTTCACCATCAGTAACGGACTCACCTGACCAGGACGGGCCAAGGAAAACCAGGAGATAAACCCTTTAAGCTCACAAGACGCCGTTTCTGAAGGTTTTACACTCCGGGTCTGATAGGGCTGGTTTAACCAAGAAACGTGAACCAGGGGCCGATGGTGGAGGAACAGGAATTGATGCTCGTTCCATCAACTTCCTGATGTTGGCCTCTCTGGGCCGGTGCCCTCGTTTGGCCATGCGAGCAAAGGCATAACCATGCTTCGCAAGATCCATGCTTCCAGTCGTACTATCTTGCCTTGGTCACGTACTAGTCAAAAGATCCACTGTAGTGGCACGGAACTTGCTGACCATGGGATTGTTTTTGATGGGCAAGTGCTACATTAAAATTTCAAGGTTTTCTGGGGTTCTAGCGGGAAGGCAAAGGCTTGCCACGAGGTCGGCACTGGTGAAGAAACATCTCAGTCGCTTCCATCAGGGTAGATAGTGATGGTCTCAGACCTTAGTGACTTAGTGGTTGTGGCCCACATCTCTGAAAGTCAAACTTGTTGAATCATTTCTTTTCAATTTTGGCCCAGGAACCTATGTGCTCAACGACTGGGGATAGCAGCTCGTAGTCTTCGGCAACCTCCCGCCGATCCACCAATTCTTTCTTCCCAATCTGGGCCAAACACATCCTAGATGCTCTATGACAAAGATCCTCATTCTGTTTCCATTGGTCAAAAACAGCAGTGGCTTCACTGCTGTATACCATGTTCACCGCAGGACGTCACTGCTTTTGGGCCACAATTGCTCTATAGTTCAAACGCGTTCTCACATCACAAGTGGTTTGTGTCCAGTCTTCCACCCCTCGCCAGCCTTTGCCCTCAGCTCCTGCCTTTGGCAGGCCAAAGGTGCAGAGTGCACAACACACAAGGGCCAAAAGCTGCGATGGGGGTTGGATGGGGTTGGGTTTGAGAAAAGCGCTCGAACATCAATTTAGCGCTCGAAGGCTCAAAAGGTGCAACGAAAAGGCCAATAATGTATACTTATTTCTGCTCGTCCGAAGATGTAGGTATATACAACATTTACGTATAACTACAACAGTCTCTTGAGTCTATTGTTGTGTTTTTGTGTTTTTAGGAGGATTAGTGATTCTTGATCTGACAATTGTTGTTGTTGGATTGTTTGCTTGCTGTGCATGTTGTGTTGTTTCTTTCATCATTTCCTGGATGAAGCCATCCCCCTCTGACACTTTGTCGATGATTTTCATAGGCTATATTTCGACTTGTTTTCTGCCGCAGCGTCAGATCTTGGGACGCAAGGTGGCTCGTGCTTTGATGTACATGGCCTGCATGTATGCTGACCATGGCCTACGTTTAGTCGAGGGCCATACAGCTGAGGGTCACTTGCAACTGGGGAACCTCTCTGCCATCCGGCGCTGGGCCGGTGCATTTCCACCCAGTCAGCGGGAGAAACGCCGCAATGACTTGGCGGAATCCTTGCAGGAGAACCGGAATCCCTTTATCGACGATCCTGACCTTTGCTCCGCTGTCGCGTGGTGAATGTGCTGACCGAGAAGCCACGTGACATGAGGGATGATGAAAATCTTTGTGATCAGGGTGACAGGGGGACTGAAATGGGACCTCTCCATGGAGACATTGCGAGTTCGCAGTCGAAACAAGAAGGGTGCGGAGCGGTATCCGGGATGCGTCGACCGCCTGAACAATCGCAGCCTGACAACTTAAGGAAACATTAATAAACATGGAGTTTTTAATCAACAGAAGAAACCGTTTGTGTCCATTTTGGTAATGTTTCTGGTGGGAGGAACTTGGTTGTTGCAGCCACGGCCTTTTGACTGCCATTGATACATGTGGACTCCGGACACATGTGTCGGCGCCTACGCGTATACCGGCCGCAATCGTTCAAAACCTCGTGCAGAGCTGTCGATGTCGACATCCGTTGACTCGTTTGCCTTTAGTATTGCTGTGTAGTATCTTGGAGTGTGTATAGGGAGAGCCCCACTCCAAGACCCTGCTGAAGGACGGACCACAACCCCCTTGGTGGAAGGTTTCTTGGGTCCACGTGGTGCGTCGGCCCATCACCTGGAAGGCCTTGATGACTCACAACAGCTTGAAACAGATGGAGGCCAATAGCGCAGCGACCTGAGATTTTGAAGTGGAATCTGTTGGATTTGGGTGCCGAACTGATTTCACATGGCCGAAAGATAGTTCAGACATGTTCATAATGATTGACTCCAACTTGGTGCTTGCGGTATGTTTGTTGTCACCAAAACATGGGACATGCCAGCGAAGGGAGACCGTTACATAGCTTTCGGACCCCACCCAAAACTTCTGAAAAGAGAGATGAGTCTACTCGGCCAGTGGGTACGAGCAGGCTACCTTCAGCTACAGTATGTGTAATTTCTTCATGGGCGCATGGAGTGATTGTGATCATTGTGCAGTCTGTCAATTTTTTTCATATTTGTGTTCCTTGAACCCTTGCGCAAAAAATGCACCCCCCAGAGATTGGCGTTGCTGACTCTTTCACTCTGCCAGGACATGCCAGGGCCAGGACCAATTCTTTTTGAGTGTTTTTTGGATGATGGAGAACCCTAGGTTTTCTTGGGGTATTGGTTTTTAAGGTGAGGTCCACAACTTGGGGTATGTATCATATGACGGTGGTTCAAAACCTTACCGGCCAAACCATGGAAGGTTGACATCCCAAACATCTGCTCAGATTTCAACCAGGGATATATTGAGTATGTTTTTGTAGATACTATATAGATCAAGGCACCCCCTTTCAAGCCCCAGGTGCTAAGAGAGGCTCGAGCATGGGCAGACAGCTTGGAGCTGAGGATCGCATTGGTCGATGTTTTCGGGCTGCTGACCGGTGATGTTTGGTTTGAAGGAGGCTCTTGTGTTTGAAGCGTGAATCATGAAACATGGATTTCATGTGTTGTGGAAAGATAGAAACTGCCAGACCTAAAAAAGGAACATCAACAGCATCGCAGAAAATATGATACCTTGGGCCTTGCAATCCCATGGAATCACCGTTTTCTCCTCCCACAGGCGATGGAGAACACGCCAAGAACCGGGGATTCAAGGCTGAGAACACCGCTGAGGTGTGTCATTGAGCAAGACGGCGACATCCACTACCAGCTTACTCCGGAAGGACTGTGACCTTTTCTACCATTCTGAGCAGTTTCTAATTCGGCGAATCGGAATCGAAGCCGGAGGGCCTTTGAGAGATGAACGCCCGGCCATCCCCTCAACGGGAGGCTCCACTTCGCGAAGCCCTCACCGGAAATTCGCCTAGATGGCCAAGGATGGGGGCCCTGCAATTGACCGACGCGTCAACTAAAGAATCATTGATGAAACAACATGTGTCTTGGCGTTGAACAGCTGCAGCATGCTGAAGCCAATACTTGGGCCGTCCTTTCACCAATCCCAGGAGCCGACGGCTGGCCAGCCGACAGGTGGGAAACCCAGAAGAGTCGACGATCGGTGTGGGAGGCCTACAGATGTTTGTCCCACCGCCATTTCTGTACATATCGAGATTTGTTGACATGTTTTGACCTTGGCTTTGACTGTAGCAGTGAATCCACTGGGACCGGTGGCCCATCACCATGCCCCAGTGATCACGCGCAGGTGCCGTGAGCCCAATGGGCAAGTGGTGAACCCAGTGACCGCAGTGACGACTCCCCGCTTCGGAGAAGGTGATTGGAGACACGAAAAACATAGGCATGGAGGGTCCAGTCGTACCGAGCCTGAGAAGGTGGCGGTGGATCCCTAGGGATGAGAGTGTTACTTTGAACGCCAAAGAGCAACTCGTGAAGCGGTGCGCCATGCTGGGATCATGACGGTCAGAGTGGCCCCCCAGCAGGGAACAAGTACGGTATACCCCTTAGAACTTTTGGCTTTAGATCCTATACAGACTACAGACGATGTTGGTTGAAATTCTCAACCTATTATATATAGATAATATAAAGCACACTCAGACTCGTACACCACCACTTGAAAGTTGAATCGAACCCACACACAGATCTAAACATGGTTCAGAGCAGAGGTCACAATCCCCAAGTTCAGGTGATTTAGAAGGACCCCGACACAAAAGACATCTTTGGGTGCCAGCCATCTACTCTGAAACCACTGTAAGTAGACCAGTTTCTCACCAAGGCTTGGAAAGGTCATCGAGCCGCTCAGCGCACGGAACAGCAGGTGTTCGGGCGAGTGTTCGGACAAGTGTTCGAGTGATCAGCAAGTGAAGTGGAGTGTTCGGGCCGAGGGCACGGCAGGAGGCGACATCAGTGTGAACATGTGAGGTGAATCCTAAAGCTCGTAATTTCAAAGTGAGGGTAGATGACAGTGGTAGAACTGAAGGGGAAGTAAGCAGAAAGGGCTAATATCAAGAAGCAATGGAAAGTAGAGGAGCATGAACGAATTGCAAGTTGGAATGTTTATGAGATCAAATTGGAGTTGAGGTAAGATCCGGCACAGGATGGGCAAGACAGTTAGGAATTCATTTCCCCCAACCCGACCGTTGATTGCTTGAAACACCCTACAGCCACAGATACAACTCAAAGATGGACCCCAAAATAGATCGAAAAGGGAGTCTCTTGCATATCACGTACTGTACTCTTTCCCGTTTGCTTCCGTTGTCACCATTTGCTTTTCCACTCTCCAGTTTTGCGGTGGTTGTTCCTCGCGGCAGGGAACTGCGTGAGACCTCACGGATCACCAGCCGGCGGTCCCGGGTGGGAGAAAGGGGTGCAAGAACTGGGGAACAAAAGCTCTTTGGCAAGTTGTCGCACGAACTTTCTGGGGAACGCTTTCTGGGAACACTTTGCCAGGTTCGGTACTATAAGGATCCACATACCAAGTAACACTCTCATCCCTCAAAATGCACGGCCACCGTACCTCAGGCTCGTACGACTGGACCCTCCATGCCTATCTTTTTCGTGTCTCCCGTCCTCACCGTACCGACCTGGTTCGGTGGATCCGTGGATCCATCGGGCTAAGCCTTGCTCCCCGTGAAGATGGAGCTCGTTGGTTGAATGAACCACTCTTCCAATGAAGCGAGGACCAAAATGCCTGCTTGAGGAGACGACTCTGTGGGTTGAAAGGACTGCACTGTTTGACTGCTCTTTGGTGGCGAAGGAAGGCGCACAGGAATCCGTTCAGGTGAGGTGTTGAAGCACGTGTTCCCGGAGAAAAACAAAACAACACAATAGGCGTCGGTTTTGCCAGGTCCTGAGTTGAGCGGCCTTTGCGGTCAGTCTTTGGCCCAAATGGCACAAGCACCATCCCACCACCACGGTGACACTTACAAACAATGTTTAATGCTTTGTTAAGTATGGACCATGGACAACTTGATGCAAACAGTTCTTACATGTGGAATTGCTAAATATAAGCATAGATAAGCATAGAATATTTGATTTAGCATGATTTAGCTATGCAGTTTTCATGCTAGACAGGCCAGGCGCATCCTTTTTTCATCCTTGGGCGCTTCCGGCACCCCTGTCGGGCATTGTGGCCATGGCCTTCGGAGGAGTCTGGAACACCCAGCAGGCCTTTCTGGCTCAGCTGAGGGATGGGAGCCTGGAGGCCTGGGGACACCCAGATTATGGTGCCCCGATCCCGGCCGACATCATAGCCTCCGGGCAGAAACACGGCCTGAAACGGGCTTGGTCTACGTGGTGGGGTGCTTTTTTAGTGGAGCTGCAGAACGGGGAGTTTCACGCCTGGGGAAAAAAGGAAAAAGGTGCCGACATCGGCACCGTGAAGGCAAGACTGGAACTCGAGGGCGTCGTGCAGATTTGGAGCACCGCAGGCGCTTTCCTGGCAGAGTTGACGAGCGGCAAAGTGCTCACATGGGGCGATGCAGATTGTGGCGGCGAGGTCACCACCTCGGTGCAGGAAGCCCTAGAAGCAGAAGGGATCCAGCGCACCTGGTCCGCAGGCGGTGCCTTCATCGTGGAGCTGAAGAGCGGCCGAGTGGTCGCCTGGGGCCATTCCGGCTACGGATCCCAAATCCCCTCCGACGCCCAAGCAGCGTTGCAGACCAGAGGGCTCCACGACATTTGGACGACGCGCGCTGGGGCCGTCTTGGCGCAACTGAACTCTGGAGAAGTGATCTCGTGGGGGTGGGGAGACACCGGCGGCCTCGGCGGCGTAAAAGATCGCCTGGAAGCCGCGGGAGTTCGACGCATGTGGAGCACTGCTGGAGCCTTTTTGGCGCAGCTGAAGACCGGCGAAATCCTGTGCTGGACCAACAAAGGCTATGGCGGTGCGCTCCCCGCGGCGACGAAAGAAGCCCTGGACGCCCACGGAATCGCCCGCGCATGGAGCACCACCAGCGCATTCCTGGCGGAGCTGACGAACGGCTCCGTGGTGGCCTGGGGAGTCGGCTCCGGTGGATCCGGCGCTGCCAAGATCCCAGACGACTTGCACAGCTCCTTGGAACGTGAGGGGGTCCACGAGGCCTTCGGCACGGCCGGAGCCTTCCTGGTCGTTTTGAAGAGCGGCCGCTGCGTCGCCTGGGGCGATGCCGATCGGGGTGCAGACCTGAGTTCCGTCAAGGACAAGTTGGAGACGGTGGGCCTGGCGCTTTCAGCACCTGCAGCTCCAGCTGCGGAGGCCCCGCGCGCAGGTAAGGACAAGGATCCTTCCAAAGATTCGAAGTGAATCTTCCATCCCAAAATGCACTCCACAAGTTGGCCACCGGCCGGAGTGTTTTCACGCATGGGCACGTTTCGTCCACGAACGGAAGACGAAACATCTGAAGAACAGAATAAAACAGATTGGTTCGATGGGTTCGATGTCTTTGTTGACGGTTAGCCTCTGAGCAGAGTCCACTCCTCCCAGTTGGGGTTTCGCCGCACCCGGGGCGTCCAACTCCGGTCGACGGAAGAAGTCGAAACACCAGGACCGTCACGCTGTGACCTTTGGAGGTCCCAGGATGAGGTCATGCCTAGGACTATACAAGGTAACTTAGAGACTATAGCTAAAGTCATCTCAGTCACCACTTGAGACCTTTGATGGTATAAACTTTAAACGAAAGTCTCAAGAGGACACCTCTGGCACATTTGTGCTCTGCTTAATTAAGAGTCACTGCTTAAGAGTCACATTAAATCACATATTATATATAGTTTTATACAGCACCAATTGTAAAAAAGCAAAACAAAAACACAGAGGGTTTGCAGAGACCTCTGATTTCGAGAGATGAGGCGATTTCCACCTTCTCGGGTGCGCTGTCCTTCGGAGTCCGTCTCCTCCCCAGCGACCGAGGCAGCAAAGGCAGCCGCAGTGCCGGGAGACTGAAGACTTGGCTTTACCAAGCAGGGTCGAAAAAGGCTTCATGGATAAAACAAACCACTGGTTCACTGTCGGTGTTCGAAAGTGAGATAAAAGAACATGGATCACTGGGGCAGGACTGGAAAACCAGACTCCTAATGTTCCAACCAACTTCAACTCAGCTCAGCTCTGGTGCGAAAGCTTCGCAGCTCAGCTCCGCTTCTCAGCTCACCGAGGCTCGCGGTCCCAACATCGCGGAGCGCCATGCGGCACCGCCGGTCTGGCGCGCCGGGAGAAGGAGTTCGGTGGGGTCGGATGCGGCCTCTCCAATGCGGCTTTCACCGGGCCTTGTCGGAGGGAGGAAGGATTGGCATGGAGAGGCTATAGATGGCTTAAGAGGCTCCATGGCAGAAATTGAGAATTTGGATTCGGGTTGAAGAAGCAAGTTTGAAAGAGATTCAGATGGTGCTGACTTTGGAACGAGTTTGAACAAATTCAGAGTTGGTTGATGTGAACATGTGTCGAAGTTTTGGATGGCGGTCGGTCTGTAATTTAGCAAACTGCCAAACACATCTATCGAATAACCTTGTCCTTTTGAAAGCCCGTTCTTTTTTATGAGAGAGACAAGGATTTTGCCTGGTGTTGTGTTTTGAATGCACCGAGTTCACGCTTTTACTGACACTACTACGGTACCGTCCACAACGAAAGCAACATATTTACTCACGCGGACTTCTCGCTGATTATGCTGTCTCCGCCCCTTGAAATGAAGATAAATGAAGGGGTGTTTTCCGGATGAGACACAGAACTCACACAACATAACATCTTCAAGTCTTGAAGCGGTAGTTCTGACAGGGACAATGTTTTAAAACTGTTTGATGCAATGTGGTAAGTCTTGTATTATTCAAAAACTGGTTTCTTGATGGGAGCAGATGTGCTTGGTGGCTGGTTCATCGGTGAAGACTCAGTGAAGACTTGCTCTCCGCCATAACATACCTTGTATGCAGCATATATATATATACATATACAGCAGCATGGTGTTCCTTGTGAAATGAGTTTTAAAAAATGCAACTCATGAAGTGGCTTGTGGCTGGTGTGAACCATCCAAGGTCGTTTTTTTTTGCTGTATGCTGCTTGGGCTGGCTTCGCAGGTGATGTTCTACTGGTACTGTAATTCTTTATCCCAGGGTAAGACATATTCAGAGCAGAGTATGTCCATGAGATCATGCCAGTCACGGCCTACTTGTTGCTTGCAAATCCACCAAGACTAAGCGTACACACATCAATGCAATACCACCCACCACGCCAGACTGAGTGCTGACACACTGTGCCATGTCCGCTTGGAGGTACAACTGCAATCGTGCTGTCTATGGCCGGCCACCAGAAGAACCAAAGGCTCCGCCAACCACCTGAGTTGCAGAGGGGCCAATCACCTGCAAGGACCTGAGGGGCCAATCAACATGCTTGCAGCAAGTGTTGCCCAAAAAGAACCAGCCCGCAAGCTGATGTTCATCAATTGCACCTAACAGTTCCTTTCCTTTTCGAGACACAACATGAACATGAACATTCTTTGTCAGCAAGAACAGGCGATCTCCCGATCTCGTCTCCTCTCACGTGGATGAGACAGCAGGTCTCATACGTGAAAGGGTTGTTAACGCTGTTGTTCAGCAGCCCTTGTCCTGAATGATCACGCGGACGCGGTGCAGAGATCGGGAGATACTGTAGGGGTTTTATACTTGCCACTGTGATGTGCAACTAAAACTGTGACTAATGAGGGAGTTGGAAAGGGGTTCATAACTCTTAGGTTGGAACGCCATTAAAACTATATCTTTGGCATTCAGACTGGCATGCTTTTTTTCAAGGACTCCAAGGGACTTGTTTCCACCAAAGACTCTTCGGCTTTTTCACTTGAACTGATTTGATGCTAAGTCGGATTTCCTTACCACGCCAGGAGTTTAATGGATAGGATTGATGTAAGGAATCGAGACTATTTCAGGCCAAGGGGACTGCGAGACTGCTCGGCAAAAATCGCCGGCGGATAGGATTTGTGTCTTAGGCACAAATGACAGAATCGAAAGCGGCCACTTTGATTGAGTTTGTCTATGCGTGCATCCAGGCATTCTCAAAGTTTGCAATTTGCTGTGGCCACCTCAGTAACTCTACGGATAGTATTGTTTCCACTCCGGCCCAGAGAGATCAAGCTTGGGGGATGATCACAGTGCTTGGCTCAAGCAGCTCCAGCCTGCTCCAGCCGAGCTTCCGTTCCGGAGCTGAAGATGTGCTTCCGAGCTTCAAGTCCCCAGAGTTTGGCTTCGATAAACAGATCTCTTAGCTCCAATTCTCTGAAGGTTTTTTCGGGAGGCCTCCTTTCGAAACCACACATGCCTGGAATTGAGCCAACCAAGACGTCTCGCAGAATCGGTGAAGCCATGGCCGTTCATGGAGTGCCTCAAAGGTTGTTCCTGCTTGACCGCGCTCTTCTTGTCTCGTCCCGAATGTTTGGACGAGACACAACGGCTTCAGCTTTGGTCCGGTGTTCATCTGAATGAACTGCCTGAAGAGTCGATGAGGCCCTGCACAGTGAGCAGCTGTCCGTCACAGCAACATCATGGCATCATATATATATATATAGAGAGAGAGAGAGACAGCAATATGTTACAACAAATTCGTTTGGTTTAGCGCACGAAGTCCACGAAGTGCGGTTGATGGCAAGTAACTTCCAAGGCCAATGTCCCCCCAAGTGTTTTCATGGATCTTCGTGATCTTCATTCCAGCCTATTCCTGGTGCTTTCATCCATCTCCAGATCCCATGTTTATAGACATTTCAAAGACACAAAGTCTTTGATCCAACCAAATCTAGAAAAGGTCTTTCACATTATATATATATATATGTTTTCATATTGTTTGCCCAAGACATGCCTGTCTCCCACCACTCTCCACACCTTCTCCCGCCCTGGAGGTCGCTGGTCCGTGCCGGTGTACCCAGCTCCCTTCGTTGGTCGCTTTGGACCTCCCATCTCCGCGCCGCTCCGCGCGGCTCCGCACAGTGGCCAGCGGAGGGCACGACGCCGTGCGCGCCGCCGCTCGAGGTGGCGGCGGATGCGGCGCGGACGAGCCTCGGGGGGAAGCGTTTGGTGGAGGAGGAGGTGAAGAGCTTGGAAAAGGCCGGAATGGGGGAGATAAGAGATGCTTTAGAGAGACAAGAGATGCTTTAGCAGTGTCGTCGTCGGCGTCGTCGTAGTCGTCGTCGTAAAGCAGGTCCTCTCAAGGCATTTCGACCAACGTCACAATTAGATTAGATGACTTCAATGTTGGGGGTGTTCATAGCTTCTGCTTGGTGGGATTGGCAAGACCTCCCAGGTCAGGCCTGTGCTGACGCCTCCAGGTCTGTGCTGCTTACGCTAGCAGAGACCCCGTGATCGGCTACTGCCAGGGAATGAACTTCGTGGTGGCTGTGTTGCTCTTGGCTTCAGGCAGGCTGTGCCAATTGGTGGATGGCTTGGGCTTTCACTGATGGTGGATCTCAGTTGTGTTTTTCCACCATGTCAGGTGTAAGAAAAAATCAACTGACATAATCAGTCGGGGATCATGACACCCACTAGTGGCACCGGTTTCATAGCGTGCCATTTGCGGGCTGCGGCAAGCTTTCCGAAATATTTGTGGGTCAAACGAGGCACATCAAACCAGGGAATGCTTGCTCCTCTTCTACATGTCATCATAACCCTGCAGACATCCTAGAGATCCATCGCATGCACCGTGTGAGCCATCCACGGCGCAGAGCAGTCTCTTCCCAACACAACCGGCGCGGGTACAGAAAAAGGCGCTCGGTTCGGGTGGGAAACTTTGTCGCAGGTGGCGACGAGATGGAGACCTTCCAATGCTTCGTTGGTTTGGTGCGTCACTTGGATCTTGTGACCTTTTACGCTGATGGCTTCCCAAGACTTCGAGCCTCAGTGTGAACTGGTTGGAGATGTTGGAGTAACTCAAAGGTGGAGCGAACAGTCTCAATATCTTTGGGACACCTGACACTGAACCATGACCCAAATTATTGGATGTTATTGGTACAGTTGGTGCGTGATACTTAGATGATCTTAGATGTACTTTGTAAAACCTCCCGAGAAAAGATTATTCTAAGATGTCATAATAAGAACGTACCATTCGATCAGATGGATTTTCGATTGGACCCCAACGAGGCTGTTTTTGCTGTTGTTGTTGTTGTTGTTAATCTATATTTGGTTTTAAATGACATTGCGTTTGGGATACTTTTGGGGTTGTTGTTTTGGACAGCAGCATGATTGCATTTCGAAGGGAATCGCACTTAATTGTTTTTTACAGTAATATTGCGATCATTTGACGTGAGTAGAGGGCAGGATGTACGCAGCACATATTTTACGCGTGAGTGCTTTGATCTAAGGAGAGTATGTGGATGAAAGTTGCAAGCTGTTGCCCCTGTTCTTGCCGAAACTTTCTCATCATTTTGAGTTAAACGGCATCCTGCCGGAGCAGTTTTTGCACTCCTGGCACCTCACTCTTTTTGCCTCCCGGCCGATTGGAACATCATGGAACCAATTTTTTGCCATCAAAAGCCATGACTCGTTTCTTCCGCCCATGTGTCCGCCCGTTTCCAAAGTTCCACCGTTTATTGTATGTTACCTTCTTATTTATGTTTATTTCTAATTTGTTTCAATTCGTTCCACCTTTTTTGGGGGGTTCTTTTCGCGCTCCATCCAAATCAAAGCCAGTTCCGACCGAACTAGACCCTGGCCAGCTTATTGCTGGCCAAGACTAGCACAGTTGTGGTGTTGAGGCAAGTTGCCTGCCGCGTGCGGCCATTTTGGAAGTTTGGGATGACATCATTTGCTGCAGTGGTACTGAGCTTTTAGTGCCTTTGGCCATCGCACTCTTGGAGTCTTTGCAGGAGATGAAGAAATGACGAAAGAGTCCCCAAGCTGTCCTGCCATATAAGTCTATCTAGAATGGATTCACTGGTCCAAGAAGATCAGTCCACGTCACACAAGGGTTGATGGTGCTTGTTTGTCATATTTTGGGAACGAAACTCAGGGAGTGAGAGAGTTCGTCTCCTCTCAGGAGCTTTTGCTCCGGAGCTCTGGTTCAGAGATCTCGTCGCCTGGAGCCAACTCGGGGGACCGACGGGGACCGAGTGACGAACGGGGGTCGATTGAACGGGGAGTATCATTACTGGGGTCCCTACGTTCGTCTCCATTTGACACCTCTTGGAATATCCAGGTTATAATTCACATTTTCACGTGCTGTTGGGCGAGGTCCCAAAAGAAAAAAAGCATGACAAGTACCATCCTGCAAAATAATGCCGAAGAGGTGTGTTTTGTTCACCCAATGCACAGCTATGATCAGTTGAGTTGACTCTTCTGATATGGCTTGAACATGCTTGAACAAAGGCTGTGCTCGTGACATTACATAGTTACACTGTGTGTGTTTGTTGGCCAATTGAAACTAATCTGATGGACTCGTTTCAGGTTTGCAGAATATGTTTAAGCGTTGGGGGAGCTGGCATTCCTAGGAAAAGTCTTTTGTACGGCAAAATATTAAGAGCAACACCACCACCAACCCAATATGGATAGCAACAAGCAACATAGAAGTTAGAAGTTGACCAGGACCACCCGAAGTGGAGGATTTCATGGTCTTCCAGGGGCCGAAGCGTTCCAGTTTGATTGTTGTGTAATTATTGGTTTGTTAAGGCATAAGTTTGTCATAGGGAGTGATCACATCACATCAGCCAGAACCGCATCGCGGAACGACCCTGTGATTCCCAGGCCACTTCTATTAAGGAAGCAGCCCCCCAAAACCCTCGGTGTCTTTGGGACCGAATCTCTTGGATTTTTTGGGTGAGGTGTCCCACTAAACCGACTCCTTGGAGTCGGTGACACCTCATACCACACCGCCCTACAACACTTCCCCACCCCACGCCTCAGGAGGAGCTTGCGCTCGGTGCCCCGCGGGGAGCAAGACGCCCAAACCTTGGGCTTTGAGCTTCGGAGGATCCGCTCGACGCGTGGGGCGGTGTGCGTCGTCAAACGCGAGGAGAAGAGCTACGGTGAGCCCCGGAAGATCAATTGGAAAAAGGTATTTATATAGAGGGTCAGATTTGGTCAGATTTGGACCAGTAACAGTAGATGTGAAATGATGTAAAAAGGGTCCTCCCTCGAAAAAATATCAAGAGCAACATACTAAAGTATCCAGAGTCTTTTTCACTGGCTGTTTTGGCAAGAGGTTTCCTGGCCCCGGCTAAGGTGAATGTTTGGGTGTAGAGAACTACCATTATCCTATGACCAAAACAGCCCAACGAAGATACAAAGACTCAAGTTTACTCAAGTAATGCACATGGGCTTGACGTTCCTGGTGATGACTGGGCTTTGGCTGCTCCAAGCTTGTTGCACATGTTGGTAGGTAACATGGTACTCCACCTTTTCAAAGTGGATAATTCCATGATTTCTGTATTTCGACAAGGAAGCAGCAAGACTCGCACCTCCCTCCTCCCTTGCTCCACAGGAGGAGCCATGAGATTTGGTCCAGTTGGCCGCATCGAACAAGAAAAAAGTGAGGCCATGAGTGATGAGCCTGACTCAGCGCGGTCGCTGCTGGAACCAGTGTTTGTTACGAAAGCCAGCCTTCGTAGAAGGCGCTAGCGGAGTTTTAGGGGGTCTGGGGGGGTGGCCCGAGAAAGGTATACGTCAACTCGGCACATGCTGCGGGAGGAGGGTGCTTCGAGGGAAGGTTTTTTGAGGTTGTGTTGGAGGTGATTTTTGAGGGGTGGTGATGCAAGAAATGCCAAATGCATCATTTGCATCATCTGAATGGAAAGGTGTAGTTGGCACCTTGCAAGGTATAGAGACCTAGGGTAGCCATAGTGCAGCTACCAGGTATAGTACTTCAAGTTGCCTTTCCGTCAACCGCTTGAGAACCTCTACACACGCACAGCAATCCACAGCTTTGAAGTCTCATTCGTGCTTTGAACTTGTATAGGTGTGTAAGAGGTATAGCAACATAGTATTTATACGGACCCAGGGTAGCTACAAGTAGCTACAGTTCTGTTCCCGGGTATGGCGCGCATGAGGCTTCAAAGCTGTGGTTTTCAAGCTAAATTCAAGGTGGCCTGAGACCAGGGCTTGCTGCCCTAAAACACTCTGTTCAGGCCACCTTGAAAATAAAGGTG